CGGATAACCGAAGCATTAAGGTGATATGAAAAGGTCTACATATATCTGACAAGGAAACATTCCCAAGTGTCCGCCCCCAATCTTATTGAGTTTCATATATGTTGAAGAACATAAAAATCTAAGATACACGTGTTTTTATATACCTGCAATGGTCCGCATTTAAGGGGTGAAACAACCCCCTAAAGTTTGGCGAAAATTAGATTTTTATAATAATTTTCGTAGAAGCAATGGAAGGATTTCGACGAACCTTGATATAAACGTTTTCTGTATAAGGACACAGTATTGTCCAGCAATGCTACACCCCCCCAAGGGGGTGAGCTCTTCAGGCGCCATTATTTTGCAACATCTATTAAACAAGCACTCCTACTTAAGTTCCATTTACGCGATGTGATTGCTCACAAAAAATGAAGAGATACGTGTTTTTTTATTTTTTACCAATAAACATTTACACATCGGTTGTAAGCAATGAATGTAGGTGGTATACGAGTATATTCAGACTAGCTTTATTGGGTTATATCGTGACCAATTCATTGTACATAAATCTTGTGAATGTGCTAATTCCTCAAAATCTCGTTGGTTTTCATAACATGCAATTATTTACAAATATCGCTAACTCTACATTTGTAAAAACAGTAAAAATCCAATTTTACCATTTCACCAAGGAGATTGTACTGCTAGTTGGAAACGGGTGATAACTGCGTCACCGGATCTGTTGCGAAACTATTTTAATTTCCTGAACTTTTTTTAAATTTATTTATTAATAATTGCATGTTATGATAACCAACGACATTTTGAGAAATTAGCACGTTCACAAGATTTATGTACAATGAATTGGTCACGATATAATCCAATAAAGCTAGTCTGAATATACTCGTATACCACCTACATTCATTGCTTACAACCGGTGTGTAAATGTTTATTGGTAAAAAATAAAAAAACACGTATCTCTTCATTTTTTGTGAGCAATCACATCGCGTAAGTGGAACTTAAGTAGGAGTGCTTGTTTAATAGGTATTACAAAAAAATGTCGCCTTAAGGATAGTTCACCCCCTGGGGGGGGTAGCATTGCTGGATAATATTATGTGTTCACCGTCCTTATACGGAAGACGTTTATACCAAGGTTCGTCGAAATCCCTCCACTGCTTCTATGAAAATTATTATAAAAATCGAATTTTCGCCAAACTTTAGGGGGGTTGTTTCACCCTTTAAATGTGGACAATTGTAGATATAAAAGAAACATGTGTCTCTTAGATTTTTGTGTTTTTCAACATATATGAAAATCAATAAGATTGAGGGCGGACACTTGGGCATGTTTCCTCGTGAGAAGTCAAATCGTTGGTGAAAGTATTCCCCGAATTGAGAGTACCGATTCGTTTCATATTTTACCACGGGGAATATATAAATGGAGGCCCTAAAGTAGGTCCTGAAACTCACGAAATTTCATATTGCATCCAAAAATTGATTTATTTATCATGGACTAGTACCAACATGGCATCATCAGCGCACGTTTTCGATAAGTTACGCTCCTTGGAGGTATAAAAAATGAAGCATTCCAGGGCCCAGCTCGAACAATTTAGAATACCGTAGAAATGGCATATTGCAGTCAGATGGGAAAAATTGGAAAATACTTTCACGAACGATTACAAGAATGCTGGCTTGTCTCGGGGCTAACACGGGTTTGTAGAGCAAAAATTCAGTTGCAGCTAAACAACACAGATGGCGACGTTGGTCCTAAACAGTCGTTAGAATAATGAATTTCCGGGATTTCAATTGTTTAACGTCGATCTTTTCAACACTACTTTACCGAAATGACATGTGGAACGCTTCAGTTCGTATAATTCTCAGCGTAGACTGTAAAAGACTTCGACATAAATATAAATGTCGGTAACGTGACGCGCTAGCTTATGTTACCACTTGAGTATTCAAAACGGCATTACCACCAAAAGGGGTATAGATGAATTTTATCTTATTGACGTCAATTAAATTTCTCAGCGCCTTTCATATCATCTTAAACGCGGTAATTAGTCGTACGGTATGCTCGTACCAGGGATATATTTGCCCGGCAGGGTCTAGGGGCGGATAACCGAAGCATTAAACGTGTGCCAAACCGATGGGAAACACCAGGTGCAGCTTCCTGGAACAGGTTGTCAAGCTTAGGGTGCGCTAATTCATCTTTTTCCATTTTTCTTTCTCCTTCCTTTTTCAACAGGAAAACTTATTTAGACTCATGCGAAGAGCGGCACAATGACTTATCTCCGTGCTCATACCTCACTTTTAGCGTTAAGAACCGACTTTTATCTGCAGTCTTTAAATGACTAAACAATATTTTAAGGTGAAGTGAAACCCCCTTCAAATCAGTTGATTCGAATACAACACTTTTTTTTAAGGGTATTAGACCAAACTGTCCGAAACTTTGACACATCACTCCTGATCATCTAAGAATTGTCCTGACACTGATTCAAAATGTGGATTTTTGGAAAGAATTTTCTAAATTAGCCCAGACCAGAATCAAAATGGCGTCGAGCTCTCATATTTCGATCGGTATACAATTATCGAAGGCTCTGATATGAGAATCGAAAGGGTCAGGACAATTTGACGACAATTTAGAACACTCTGGTAATCGATAACCTCGCACTTGAACGGGAAGAAGGCAAAAATAGTGTTGTATACGCTTCTATACCAAAAAGATGGTAATACGAGGTCTCGAAGTGAAAATTTTGTTGACCTGGAAATCACAGATGGCGCAAGGGGTCCCTCTGCAGTCAATCATGGCCTCAGAAAGCATGAATCCAGAGGATTTCTGGAGTTTTACTTTAATTTCTTTATAATTATTGTACGAAAACGACAGATGGAGTATGCCATTTGGTACAATACCTAATATAATTCGACACGGCTGTCAATATAAAAACGAACGTCGACAACGTAGGCATTTAGAAAAATCTTCTTGATCGACGTCGACCAAGTTCCTCGACGTGTTTCACTTCACCTTAACCCTAAAAGTGAGGTACGAATACGAGCTTTATATTCTTATTCTTTTCTCTGTACATGAGAATATCAAGTGATCGATACTGATAACTTATTTTTACAATGTCGATCGCCTGGAAATCTATGATATATTAAAATCAAGTTCAGAGGAAGCAGAAACGACCTTGAAAATATGGAAATAAATTTTGTCATGGAAGGCCGCTACAATTGACTGGCCTCCCCTTTGAATTAAATCATTCTGTTCAAGAAACGTATTTGTCCGCATCCAGGGAAATGGACAGATTAAAGCAACATTTTTTAACTACGTTATAAACCGAAGAAGCCAGGTAAAAAAACCAAGGACGAACTTCAAGACTAAGAAACGGGTTTTATTTCAATAATTTAACTGTCTCCGTCGAAACCTTTTCTTTTCTCGTAAAAATATGTAAATACCTTTATTTGTGGAAAATATTGGAGAAAACGAGAAAATCCCAGCCAAGGCAAACCGAAAAGACAAAGGGAGACAAGCCTGTGACAAAAGTTTGACCCCAGTGTTTCCAATCGTAAAAGTCGTAATTCATACGGCTCCGCTGAAAGGCACTCTATTTCCAAACGGAGAGACCTCGCCGGTAGAGAAAGAACCGACGGGTAAATGTTAACACAGCACAGCCACAGAGAAGGGCAAGCCCCTCTGCTCGTTTATTGTTGCACGTGTTCCGCCCTTCCGCGTGGCTTCCTCGGATAATTTCAAGGCGTAACGTCTAGTTTTCAGCCATAAAGCAACGGAAGCGCGATGTGGACGGGGAGCGAAGTTAATGGCCTTAAATGCTCAAAATTCCCGCAATTTTCCTTTTTCTCCTTCCAACTGGTATAGAGCGATTAGAAGAGATGGTTGATGACAATTACCGTAGCCCATCATTTCAAAACTCCGTTAGACACTTAGAATTGTAAACGTTATTAAAGTTAGTCTACGTCTCGCGTTATATTCTACTTGCCTCATGCTAAGTTTCCAGTTTCTACCAATAGGTAAAAGTGAAAATATATTTCAGTTGAAAAAAAACGATTTGCGAACGAGCGTCTTAAGGTGATATGAAGAGCTAGCCTATATATACATCTGAGAAGTCAAATCGTCGGTGAAAATATTCGTTTCAAATTTTACCAGGGGAATATGGAGGCCCTAAAGTAGGTCCTGAAACTCGTGAAATTTCGTTTTTCATCCAAAATATATTTATTTATCATGGACTGGAACCAACATGACGTGGTCCGTGCGCGTTTCCGTTGTTTTACGCTTTTTAGTAGCTTAGAATCGGAAATGAAGAGCTTCAGGACCTAGCCCGAATAATTTAGAAAACCGTAGAAATGGAATATTGCGGAGTCAAATGGGAAAATATGGAAAATACTTTAACCAACGATTGTAAGAGAATGCTGGCTTGTCTCGGGGTTAACACATGTTTTTCGAGCAAAAATTTAGTTGCAGCTAAACGTCACAGATGGCGACGTTGGCCCTAAACAGTCGTTAGAATAATGAATTCGCGGGATTTCGACAGTTTTACATCGATTACTTCATCATTACTTTACTGAAATGACTTATGGAACGCTTCAGTTCGTATAATTCTGAACGTAAACTGTAAAAGACTTCAACATAAATATAAATGTCGGTAACGTACCACCGAAAAGGGTACAGATAAATTTTAATTTATCAATCTCGACTAAACTTCTCAGCGTCTTTCATACCATCATAAATAAAAAAAACTCCATAAAATCATAAGATTTATGGATAATTATTCGTACAGTTCTACAATTTTAAAGATCTATAGAAACTGTCTCAACAGCGTGCGCTTATCTGCGACACGCTTCTTATGAGTTAGGGTCCAAAGACAAAGAACGTCTCGAATAATATACATTTTTATGCAACAATAGTTTCAGTGACGAATGTACTCTACTGTTGAGTAAATTATACTGCGAAGAACGCTTCGTCGTTTAACGTGTACACAGTATGCTTAATATGCGCTCGTTTCGGTACATTAAACGTATTTGACACCACTGGGTGCTTCACAACATGTACAGATACCGTCTGTCTACTACATTGAGTCTGACCCAGTTCATCCGCATAGAATTCTAATTTTATGCGACGAAGAATACACTAAAAATGTTATTTCACAAGTAAATTGACTGCACATAAAAAATGCAATTTGCATGTTAAACCTACCTTACATCTCTGTACATTTTCATCCTCTGAAAAAATAACAAATACATCCTATTTCGCCATGTTTTGCTATGCAGAAAAAAATGTTCTTCCCGTAGCATTGCATGTGTCAAAATTATAATGCATGTAACAGTATATATAACGTTATGTAAACTCATGTGTCATGATCAGTCATAACCTTTGCGATTAACGATTAAAACATGAATTATACCACGAAGTAACATTTTCTAGTATGTTTAACGTTAACAAAACAAAATAAACAAGTTTTATTAGATTTTAACCAATTGAAATTCAAGGAAAAGTACTTACTCTACTACTACTAATCTCGCTTTTTTAATAAACATAACGGTCTACAAGTTATACTGTAATTGATACCGTCATGAATGTGTACGTTACCTGCAATGGCAAATTGCGATAAACAAGATGTATAAGTCTTCATTTGCGAGATCCTTTGACTGAAATTCGCTGAAACGATATTAACTGTAAATACAGAATAACAAAACTTACCATATGTTCCATCGCTTTTTCCTCAAGATCGAACCGAGACCAATCTGCACGAAGTTTCAGTGGCTGAAGACGTGATTCCATCTTATGTAACCATTTTCTCAAACACTTCGCCTCGTGCTCAAAATCTTAGAAAGGAAAGAAGGATTAATATTTTTTAATATCGATTCAGAGCTGAATAAATTACAAATAATTTTCAAATAAGATGATCAATTGTATTTGTTGCATGGATGTTGGCTAGGACTTTACATTCTTTGAAATTGAACCTTTGCCAAGGGAATTACATTGTACGGTTGTGATATCAAGAAATATACAATTTTTTCTATGAAGATTATTAGAAAACGGATAAATTATGTCATACCTGCCGAAACGTCCTGTTGATTGGACACAGGCTGGTCCGATACTGGTGCCATGATCTGCTCAACTAATTCCCACTTTGTGTTCAAATGATCGACACGCCATGCAACTTCGTCCTTCAAAGTTGGCGTTCGAGACATTAATTTTGCTGCTTGCTCGTTAAACAGTCTTCTTCGGTATGCCTTACGTTGCAGCTCCTCCATGTGAGCCTGAATTATCATTACACATTATTATGAATAGTGGACAATCTTTTTCGAAAATCTGTTATTAAATTAAGAGATTCTAAACGGCTGTTTATCATAGTAATCCTTGCAAAGAAATGTGCATATATAGTTCTCGTAGAAAAGTAACATATCAAAGACTAAATAGCTCCCACGATAATCAGATTGCAAAATCGATTGAATAATTAGCCAACATCATCTTTAAATACCATGGACACTATTCTGCTAAGCATTAGAAAAGACGTTTTGTTAATATAATAACATTTCAAACATCTGACACGTGACATTGTCTGATACTATCTTCATTCAATGAACCGATGTCGATGTTTTGACTTTTGATTTTATCCTTTTATGCATATTGACTATTCACTTGGAAATCAGTGAAAACGATGTCCTTCTTTGAGAACTGATTACCTTTAATGTCATATAATAAACGGCAATGTTATTTAGTAACAGGTGACGATAGGCCTTAAAATTGTGACAATGATTCGATAATTTCCAAAAATTTCCAATGATTTCTGTTTGCGATTTTCAACTGATTTTCACGTGATTTCGAGCACTAAAATTCATGATTCCCCGAGTGAATAATACCTCGTACTGAACTTTACTAATATGGGAACGCGCACGAGCCGCTAGTCCCCGCGTCAAGAGAGAAGTCCCTGGTGATAATTATATCCTTTTCTCGCACAGTTCCTTAAAAAGTTTTGTTGATGCTCAGATATTAAGTGTACATATATGCGCTGAGAGAAAAGAAGTGAACACAAGTACATCCTGCGACTATCTCTCTTAGGACGATTCCCAAAACAGTGGAGCATAAGATCATACGCTTTCTAGTATTAGCTAACTTTAGTGCTTTTATGTATCGCTTTTCAAATACTTTCTGCAGCTGAACAAATATCTGACATTAGGAGTACTCAATGCAATAGTCCTTGATTTGACCAACTAATTCCGATTATGTAAGTGTAAGCGACTAATTTATTTATATATTATTGATCGTAAGCATAACAATGAATACATACTGCGCGAAGACTTCTGTCCAAAAGATTCTCCTCTTTAGAGTAGATTAACTCTTGAAGGACATCTAACCAGGAATATAGTTCTGAAAATTGACCGCTGACTTCTTTTAAACCCCAAGGAAGGGTTGAGACGTCACTCTCATCCCAAGCCAAGTCTCCATTGGCATCCTGTAAAAATAAATGTTTCATTTAATTGGAAGGGCAGTTACATTTCATAATTATTACGCACATTATTATAAACATGAGTTCTCATTCAAATTTACTTTTCTTTTCATTGGTATTTTAATTAGTACTCATATTACTGTTTTAACTGACCTTGCAGGTATCAATTAAATTAGTATTCATAATATAATTGTAGTTGGATTGAATTGCTGCCCAAAAGTCGTCTTTACTCTCTTCTCGGCTTCCAGAAATTCGTAACCAGTGTCTGTGCTCCAAGTCTTTCCTATATTATTTAAAGAACATGTAACCATTGGTGAATATCATTATTAGAAATAAATATAAAATGTAAAAGATGGTATAACAAAGTGTTACATGGATGGAACCAGTATTTATAAAGTGTTTACTTAAATTTTTACATATAAATTACTTAAAATGGCTATTTAGTAAAATGGAAAATTCACATATCAACCCTAATATATATTATATTAAACCTACATGTTCAAAGACTATTCTATTTTTTATCGAACAGTGATATTCACAAACCAGTTAAAAATACTTCATTCTCATTCCCATTGGAACATTATGTCACATACGCCTTATCACTTTGCAAATATGACAAACAGGTCATGTAAGATACCAGCTTAACGTTTACGTTATATTACAAAGATAACGTACCTTCTCTTTGTAAGGCTGTTGTAAGGATGACCTGCTCTCGTCTTCGCATGCTTTGGGCTCTCTGGACTACTGACAGAGGGTTGCAACAAAGACATTGAAGAACTCATTTTCAGGGGTTTGGAATATCCTGGAAAAGAATAGAAATAAATCAACAAACAAATCCACAGAAGCATGAAGTCATATATCATATATTTATATATAACTAATGTAATATAAGTCTTCCAAACTTTTTATTCTAAAGAATTTTTAAACAGAAGAAGTAATTTATAATTCTCTTTCTTAAAAATTATTATAAGCACAAAAAATATGATTAACATTTGGCCAATAAATTTATATTTTAGTTTAACAGTTATCTTGTATCAAATAGAAGCCAACGATCTAATATAAAGCCGTTGAAGTATTGATTTGAATCAACACATTAAATTGCAAAACTATGACATTTCTTGGAGCTTTGCCATTCATTTTGGGTTCCATTGCTTCCTCATTCCAAACGTATTTCTTTGATGATCCAAAAATACATTATCCTAACTACTATGAAATACGTTTTAAAGAATACTTTTATCATTATCCAGTACCTCAAAATAATCAACCTTATCCAATACAAAATATGACCTTATAAAATGCCAATTCAAGCTAATTAAAAATAAATAAACTTGACCCTAGAAGTAAATGTTTATTTTGCCCGTGTATACATCTTTGCCTTCGACCTTTAAGCTAAATTTAAAGTTCTGGCTCATCGAGTCACTGATCTCGACCGAAACAAAATTACGCAACCTTCTATAAAGTCTAGCTTTTAATATGTATTCAAATTTTATTTTCGAAATATCTTAATTGTCTTAACCAAAACCATGTCAGAATTTTGAAAATACTACTGACGTTAAATAAAAATTTAAATAAAGGTTATTTTGAATGAAAGGTTATTTTCGATGCGTATTTAAAAAGACTCATATTCTAAAGCTGGTATTACTTTTAAAGACACATCGATTTCAAAAGTCATTCACTTCTTGCGACATTTCCATGTGCATCCATCTTCTTCTCTTTTATATCTTCGTTAAATCATATTACATACCTTAAATTGCTTAATTTTAACAGTAACAACATAAATTATATAACATCTACCTTATCTAAACATTTGTACAGCTTCAATCGAGAAGGAAAATTATTGTTTTAGAAACCGCTCCATCCGCTCTGATATACAACATAACCTACTCGCTCTACATCCACCGTTCCGAAGCACAGGAACAAAGTCTCAAAATGACTTAGCATTCCATCGAGCCTAACCGCTGACTAAAATTTGAAGCCTAAATTGTGCTAAACAACGATCTCAGAACCATCTCAGATCTTTGGGAGTAATTTAAAAAATGTCATCAAACCTCGAGAACGGTACACCAAAGCATAGCAACAAATGAATGTTTACCCAGGAAGAATTATGTTCACTAAATAACCTTTATACTCGAAAATCCTTTCGGCAAGAAAGCTGCCAATTAAGTAAGAATCTTGCCCGTCGAAGGGCCAGGTTCACGGGTGAGATAAAAAAAAGGAAGCGATCCATTGAAATTCTAACCTGGACTATCCATGGTTGTGCCTTAAATCCGATCGTTGGTATTCTAGTTCCTTGGATGCATAGCGGCGAAAAGCGACGCCCGTCGACTCATGAATGTCGTCGAGGGCCCAGCTAGAAGGCGGCTACGGGCGTTCCTCGCGATGCGTTAACCTCAATCTTCCTAAGACCGCCGAGACGGACCTGAACGCACGGGACGTCGGGGTCGTAGGCATCGGGCCCGCGTGCGACAGCTGTTGAAATCATGGCGAACCTATCCGATTACCGAGCGCGGATTTCCTCGCAACCAGGTTAAATTTAGAACGGGAATATTAACACTCTTTACGGTGCAACCAGGGTGCTACCGTGGCGTGACTCACGGCTCTTTTCTGGTTAGGACGCCCATGGGGAGACACTGGCTCGTCGCTCGCCGTCGACCATCACGCCCGGCTTTTCGAACGTGCCAAACCCGACATCACCCTGAAAAATAACGATCCTTTAGCACGTTCTTACCTCCGGTCGATACCTATCGCCTTAATTATGCTCGAGGGGCCTTTACGGGCGATAGTTTTCCCTCAAAGCTGACCTAAGGCGTGGTGTACCGCACACTGTTTACGGTTTAACTTCGCATGAATGACGGAACGCTGGACTGCCTGCGGACCGTCGAGCGCGGCAAACCCGATCTCCGCCTGACCAGTAATCATTGTTATTCAAACAAACTATCCCATTCGGTACCATTCAATTATTCATGCAACGATTAATTTTACGTGTCATCATTTCGGTACCTTTCCCAGCAGGATCGTTTTTCAAGCCTTCGATTGTTTACGACTTAACCTCGCATGACTGGCGGTGTACTGAACTGCACTCGACTGCCCTGGGCCGTCGATCGTCGTCTCCAGGGTTGGGTAAGTATAATACGTCATGTAATGTACGCGGTTTTCTACGTGTACGTTACAACCTATACTTTTCTACGCGAGCGCAAAGTATATTGCCTCCTTCCATTTCTAATTAGAAAATAGCAAATCCAATTAGAAATTCGATATTAAACAGGGTCAGGGTTGGGTAAGTATAATACGTGAAGTAATATACGTGGTTTTCTACATGTATACTGATGTATATTACAACGTATAATACGTCCCTAGTTTTCTACACAGGCACGAAGTATATTACCCCAAACTAAACGTGCAAAGCGCATGCGCAAAATCGTCAATAACCAATGAGAGTCCACCTATTTACCTCTAAGACATATTCTCATTGGCTATTAAAGGGATTGCACTTTACGCATCCACAAATCCGCGCATATTCGAAATCAGCCTTGGACATTTCGAATGTATGCATGTATGTGCATTTCACGTTTCTTTATAACGGCTGATAACGGCTATTTGAAGTCGTAAGATTCGTAACCAATATTTGAATCAAAATGTATAAAGGTGGGAGACCAAAAAGTAAATTATGGAATGAAAAAAATGTACAAGATGGATGTTTATAATTTAGCGGATACCGCATGCCCTACGCTGTCTTGTCCGCCATATTTGATACGTATCTCCTGATTTTATACGTCTTCTACGGTAAACCACTTGATTTACGTAATATACGTCAAAAACCTCGAAAATCGTGAAATTACCCAACCCTGAACAGGGTTAACCCGAAAGAACGTTGAACGCGTCAAATTAATTAGTCCTTAACGATACTGATGCGTTTACGTGTACGTTAAAAAGACGTTTATAACCTAACGGATACGTATATCGTGGATCCGCCATATTGGAAACGTAATATTCTATAGAAGTTTGAACGCAAGCGCTGAATTTAATTTATTACTCCCTACAAATATTTACGTGTTTACGTATATACTAAAAGACGTTTATAATCTAGCGGATGCCGTATATCGCGCACCTGCGGCACTCTTCATATTGGAAACATAATTTACTGCTTTTCTACGATTTTCTCCGGTAAACTATATGTAGTTTACGTAATGTACGTCATAAGCCTAAAAAGACGCGAATTTACTCAAGCCCCTGGTCGTCACACGCGGGTTTTCCGTCTTGCCAGACTTCGCCCTCGAAAGGACTCTTTTTTTCGATTTACTTAATACACGTCAAAAACCTCGAAAATCGTGAAATTACCAACCCTGAACAGGGTTAACCCGAAAGAACATTGAACGCGTCAAATTAATTAGTCCTTAACGATACTGACGCGTTTACGTGTACGTTAAAAAGACGTTTATAACTTAACGGATACGTATATCGTGGATCCGCCATATTGGAAACGTAATATTCTATAGAATTTTGAACGCAAGCGCTGAATTTAATTTATTACTCCCTACAAATATTTACGTGTTTACGTATATACTAAAAGACGTTTATTACCTAGCGGATACGTATATCGTGGATCCGCCATATTGGAAACGTAATATTCTATTGAACTTTAAACGCAAACGCCGAATTTAATTTATTACTCCCTACAAATATTTCCGTGTTTACGTATATACTAAAAGACGTTTATAATCTAGCGGATGCCGTATATCGCGCACCTGCGGCACTCTTCATATTGGAAACGTAATTTACTGCTTTTCTACGATTTTCTCCGGTAAACTATACATAGTTTACGTAATTTACGTCATAAGCCTAACAAAACGGGAATTTACTCAAGCCCCTGGTCGTCACACGCGGGTTTTCCGTCTCGCCAGACTTTGCCCTCGAAAGGACTATTTTTTTCGGTCGACTCTTCCTGGTCGTGAGAATTCCGATTCTCTACTTTTTCGCGGTTATTATTTTTAATTTTAACTGAGCCTACTTGCTGCTTGCAAGCGTTGACAATTTAATCTCGCGTGACCGACTGCACTCTGGACCGTCGATCGCCGTCACGACCGGCTTTCGAATGCGTTGGGCCTTGCCGTTGCAGTAAAAAATATTTAATGTAATCAATAGCTAACCGTACGAGTGTTCCTTTTTCGGCTCGGTTTATCGTTAATTAGATTTAACTGGTTCAGCTTGAACCACGAGTTTACAGTTATTCTTAGGTAATTGTGAATCTTGGATACTCGATCGGTATGTTACACGAACACCAAAGGCGATATCACTCCACGATTAATTGGCTCCTTTTATAAAGAAATATTTCTCGATTTATAGCGACTTGATTTTGATGTACTCCGATCCAGGAGAGATTCATCAATTAATTGACCAAGATCTCATCCGACTTCCGATTAGGGTGTGATCGCGATTAACTGGTCGAACGTCTTCCCGGAAAAGAACTTGCTTTTATTTCACAATTTTTTCTTAATTTTATTTATCCATCGGGTGCACATTTATAGCTCTATTCCGGTAGATCCAGGTCAATTCAGATATTTACGAAGGCGGCTCTTGATGTAACGCCCCTTTCATCTAAGGCGTAATCCCCGAATTTGACTGCACTCCAATAAAAACAATTTCATTCAAAACTGCACTTAAAACTACCTCGGTAAATTAATTTTAGCTAATGATAACAGGGTGGTTCTATTGTCTGTCTCTAATGTTTACCAGATTTTCAAATGAACAACAAATCGTAAGTCTTTATTAAAGTAAATTTTGCACAAAGTGTCGGAGAAATATTCCAGAAAGAATTGAATTTTAATTGCGGATCGGGTTCTCACGAATCGCACTTTTGAGAAATTGACGTAAACAATAGCACTGATAAAAATCTACATCCTAGATCACATGGGTTATTTTAATACCACAATTAATAACAGAAAAATTACATTGTCTGGGTAATGTCACATTCGGTATCTAAATTACCCAAAGAATGTATTGTAGATGTACATTTGATATGTAAACATAAAGAGTAATTTTACATGTAAAATGTATAACTGATATACATTATATGTGTAAATTTCGGGGGTAATCTTCCAATCGGTGATAATATCGATGGGCCTCATATGTTAACCTAGACGTAAACTTATTAAAACATATTCCACATGAAAACGCAACGATAATTGTATGACTCTTTCCTGTTAGGTACTTACTTCTTTCACGTCAATTCGATAGCACCAGACTGAGGCAAGTCAGCTCCAGAGATTGCCTGAATCTTCAACGTCCAAACACCCGCAACAACTAATTATGCACCACGCTGGGTCGTCTATGCTGGACATATTTCGACGGGTTTGGCATTGTTCTCAAGCAAGAAGACGCGTGAGAATCACGTGATTGAATTTAGACGATTTGATTGGCTAAGTTTACCTCCTAATATGTACTTTTACCCGGCAGCGTATATTTATCCGCATCAATATGTAAATTGACTAGGTAACCCGTAGATTTACATACATGATAAAGGTCTTACATGCCTCGAGAAAAATTATTGGGTTGTTCGGAAAGTAATTTCGTTTCTTTTCTATGAAAATGAAAGACGATTTTTTTATAGCGAATAAATATTTTATTGAATTATATATTGTCCATTCTGGTCCAATACCTTTTGCCATCTTTCTGGCAGTAGCATGATTCCACGCTCATAAAATGTTTAGTTTTTGCTGTTAAAAAACTGATCCAGGTGATTTTTGACCTCCTCATTTGAAGTAAAGGTTTTACCGTCTAAAAAATTGTGTAAAGACCGGAACAAGTAATAATCAGAAGGTGCCAGATCTGGAGAATATGGTGGGGGTGGCAGTATATCCCATCCAAGCTGTAGAAGCTTTTGGCGAGTTAAGAAACTTGTATGAGGTCTCGCATTATCTTGGTGAAACACTACACCTTTTCTATTGATCAATGCTGGTCTCTTCTGTTTAAGTGAATCATTCAAATTGTCCAGCTGGTGACAGTACACTTCAGAATTGATCGTTGTGTTGTTCGGTAGAATCTCAAAAAAAACGATTCCTTTGAAATCCCCCCAAACAGATACCATCACCTTTTTTTTATGAATTTCAGCTTTCGAAGTTCTTTGACTCGGTTCATCTTTTTTACTCCATGATCTCTTGCGTGTAACATTGTCGTAAACAACCCATTTCCCGTCCCCAGGGATGATGCGTTTCAAAAATGGATCATTTTCTTGACGTTTGAGAAGCAAATCACAGACGTCGATGCGATGACACAAATTTCTTTCCGCAAGAACACGAGGAATCCATATGTCGAGCTTTGAGATTAAACCTAGGCGTTGCAAATGATCATGAGCGGTCGAATTCGCTAAATTTAATCTCTCAGCGATTTCACGAGTTGTTATTCACCGGTTTGCATCAATTAATGCCTTTATTGTGTTTTCATCAGCTTTAAGTGGCCTTCCAGGACGTGGTGCATCTTCAATATCAAAATTGCCGGATCGAAATTTTGCAAACCAGTTGTGACCCTGGCGTTCCGTCAATACATCTTCTCCATACACGTCGGATAATTTTTTTCTTGCTTGAACAGCATTTTTACCTTTTCGATAGTAAAAAAGTAAAATATGCCGAAAATGCCGCTTTTCACTTTCCATATTTGAAAGGGTACCAACCAAAAACTACTGCGTAGAATGAATCAAACTTTTTCACAAGCAAGCCTTGCTAGATCAGCTGTCAAAATATATAATGATTATGCGGCTTACGTGTGAAGTTGAAAAAAAATTAAGTCCTCTGTTGGGAAACAACGAAATTACTTTCCGAACAACCCAATACAATGTAACGTTACATTTAATTCAAGCGAAAATGCAGGAATGCAGGAAATATACAATGTCACGGGCATTTATACATTTTCTGATTGATCATTTTTCTATTTAAAACCAGTTATGTAGGGTGTAAAAATGTATGTAAACTTCCATGAATTTTCTTTAGGTGTGTGCTCACTTTTGAAGAGGAAGACACGAGAGGATTTGTGATACCTTGAAAATACCGTAGAAGCGGTACGGCTGCAGCTCTCCCGTAGAAACGATCACCGTTGCCCGAGATTTCGCCGATTGTTTACGCAATCCACGCAATTCTCCGACGCCGGAGACTTCCTGCGGTGTAAATATCTGTATCAGTTTCAACGATGTGAGTGTGCATCGTCGGTAAAGATGCATGGTTAACATCCGGTGTGCCCTCTTACACGTATGTGTGAATATTTCCAGGTTTTTTATATCCTTACCGTCGGTATGACCACTGTCGATTATGTCAAGACATGTGACATCGTTTCTTATGCAATCACCTATAGAATGTCGTAATTCCATGCAAACTAAACATTCCGGATGTTTTCATGTCGCTTTCCTGAGATGTCTATCATTTCTTTTTACATTAATTCTTTAATTTTTTAGCGTTTTTAAATCGCAAACAGTATTTTACATGTATTACTCGAGGTCGTGGACAATTCAAAAATTGAGAAAACTAAAGCAGAGGAGTACTTCGTAACTGCTGCTGCAGAGAGATGCTTTATAATTACGAGTAACCGGGTATGTTAAAAAAAAGAAAATGACGTTTTAACAAGTGGAACTTCTTATAAGAGTACAAAGAAAAGTTCATCGCCCTCGCTCTAATGGCTGCGATGCGGCGTCTTTTTTTCTTAATTGAGAAAACGTATTTACGTATCATTAACGTATTAAAAATGTTTAATTTCACGATCTTCGAAATGAACTCGCAAAACTCTAACATTTTGTACTGCCTTTCATTGATTATGCCGTTACGGTTTAGAAGGTTTCCGTTTCCATTTATTTTACTTTCATTATCCGACTTAGTCATTGAGAATACTAAGAAAATCGAGAAAAAGAAAAACACTGTATTGTATCTGTCGCCGTTCTTATACTTTCCAACAAGAATATCATTTAAGGGGATGTGAAAGTGGCGTCCGAAAGCTCAATCTTTCATAAAACTTTTCTACGAACTGGGTGTCTCAAATCGTTCCATACTTTAAAACGTGAATATGGAGACCCTAAGGTAGGTCCTGAAACTCGCGAAATTTCATTTCTTATAAACTATTTTTAGAATACCTATAAACAAATTTGAAATGAATTGAAATCTCATGAGTTTCAGGACCTTCCTTATAGTCTCCCTATTCACGTTGTAAAGTTTCACCCTATTCTATATTATATTAGTGAATATGAAGACCCTAAGGCAGGTCCTGAAACTCGCGAAATTTCATTTCTTATAAACTATTTTTAGAATACCTATAAACAAATTCGAAAAGAATTGAAATCTCATGAGTTTCAGGACCTTCCTTATAGTCTCCCTATTCACGTTGTAAAGTTTCACCCTATTCGGCAAACCGTGTTGGGAGAAAAGATTTATAAACAAAACCTCCGACTCCACTTTCACATCGCCTTAAAGAGTCCAACGTTGTCCCACCTACATGCGAGTTCGCGCGAAATATGCAATTTACGCTTAGAGGTGCACATTATGCAACACGTTCTCCGCATTTGTTGGTCCCGTCCAGCCTCACCCGTCTTGTTAGGACATATGCTCAAACTTGTGTACAGTTGCCCATTTGCAGTTGATTGTAGTTTACGCAACGACGTAGCTGGGCAGGCTTAAGCGCGCCGAGTTGCGAAGGCCAACCTGCGGATAACTACCGGGAAGATAATCTCGACCTGAACGGTACCCCTGGAATGAAGAAAGAAACAAGCGGGAATGCTAATGCGTCGCTTTAAATTCAAATGAAAGCCCTGAAACGGCGTTTCACTTCCCGCGATCCTTCCGCGGGAATTGTTTAACCCGTCAGTTCGATATAAAGGGAGCGCTCCTATTCGCGGCTGAATGGAAAAGTGATTTATATTTGGAGAAGCGCCCGTTGTCGAGGCTAATTTTAATCTTGCGCTACTCGCCGAGGAATCTCCGAGGAATTGCACATGGACTACCATGATTCACCTGGACGCATTCCAAAGTTGAGGGACCTTACGTTGGACAGTGGCGACCTCGCGGTACGACCGGTTGCCACGGGAACTACGACGTTCAATGTCAATTCGCTCTAGCGGAAGAACCTGTTATCGACCGCTGGTACTTGAAGGTCTGGTACGACTCTTTTTCACGGTCCCATAACGAGAGATTTAATAGTGGAGGGAGAAGTTTGTATAACGGATTCGTTTGCTTCATTGAAACGATCTGGTGTACCGATGGTGGAGGTAGCGAATTTTATTGGTTCAATGGCGGCACTCAATTATTTCTAGCTACGACGGGTGTTAACGTTTTTCTTAAGTTTTTTTTCTCGGCTACCGCGAATATATGTGCCCATAATTATGAAAGTGGTCTAAGTCATATATTTTTTGTTTCGAAATTACATTGAATTAATTTCGTTTGAAATAATATGGCGTGAAATAACTGATAAACTCATTTTTTTTTTAATTTTGACTTAGACCACTTTCATAATTATGGGCACATATATATCATGGGGGAAAACAATGTATAGTTACCCCATGAAAATTGAACATTAAGAATTGGAAAATAAACGTAGAAGTCTGCTCGCGTAGGGTGGGACAGCTCAAGCTCGATCCACGACAAAGTACTTCGATATGAACTTTAAGTATCGATCTCGGGTTTTTTTACTACCGTGTATATAACTACTTACAGACATATTTTAAATAGGGTGATGGACGGGGCATTCTGAAATCGCAGATCGAACGAATCGGACGAGATGGAAGAGTGCAAGCCAACGCCACAGTGATGGCATCAATAAAGAGCCCGTCGGTATATCGGCGTTCAAATCGATCCAAGTCGAACTGGTCCTTGATATGTCTTGGCCCTGCAGTTAATCTTATATTATTCCAGACGTATCGATAGAACCTCTATACATGGAAATCAATGCAATCCTGCAGAACGGTACAGCCCAAACCAATGCCGTAGTTGCGGCTCTAACAATAAGAAGCATTCCATCAGCCTATTAACGCCCAACCAAGTTCAACTTCAACTTATCCATGATACAATTTGCACGTATCATTAAGTTCGTGGGTTGCTACATGTAATTAGGTATTCATGAAAAGCATCTTCAGCAACATGACGCATATTAAAAATTCTAAATCCGGAGGTCGACCAAATCATTTGAAAGAAAGAATGCAGCCAAACGCCGGAGTCGCAAGGTCAAGAAAGAGTTCATCGGTAATTCAACCTTCATACTAAACGGGAAAATCACTTTCTAAAAAAAAATAAATTCCTACGAGGAAAAGACCTTTACTGACTACTCTCAATAAAATAAAATCGAATGAAATTGAAAGAAATTACAAACAATAGTCCATTTTCTTCAGCTCAGCTTCCCCAAGTCTGCTTGGTTCATATTTTTACATTTACTGAGCATAAACGTGTTAGAATGAATAACTGATTGTTATAACAAGTATTAGATCGTTTGAGTTCAATACAACAATAACAAAAATATTATATAATTTCCATAAATATTTTCTTCAGACATACTTGAGACCGATTTCGTGGACCTTTTTTTTTACAAAATCATGTTTCC